AATCCACTCACCTCAGCCTCCCAAAGGCACGGGATTACAGGCTGAGCCACTGAGCCCAGCTGAGCAAATATATATTTCTTAACAAGTGGTACACTCATATCACCTACAGAGAAAGCAGAGTCATCAAGACCCACCCATGTTCTTTGACCTTCCCATCCACTTTTTAATGTCACACTTAATCATGAACAGATAGTCAAGGATTATAGGACATAAGGGGAAAATCTTTAATATGAAAGGTAGATTCCAATATACACAAACAGAAAAAAACAAAAACAAAAACCCTTAAGGTACAGAAATTGAAGGAAGAAGAAAATTTCAGAAAATGAAATGAACAATTATTTTTCCCCAGCAGAAGATATAGAATCTATTAAACAAGAATAAGATATCCATATAAAAGGGTCACTCAAATAATAAATCAGAGTTTGAAAGGGTTGAAGGACAAAAAATAAAGACAGAAATATTAAAAAAAGATTAGAACATTAGAGGACCAGGCAAGTCTAACATTGGAATAACAGGAGTTCCAGAAAGAAAGAACAGAGAAAATGGAGAGGGAAAAACCATCATTGAAATAATTCAAGATGACTTTCAGAACTGAAGGACGTGAATGAATTACTGGATAGAAATGACAAATCTAATGTTTAGGTCATTAGATGAAAATAGACCTATACCAAGTTGCTTCACTATGATTTTTCAGAACATGGGGCACAAAGGGAAACTTTTACATAATTCTAGGGTGGGAAAAAAGTCACATACATTGGTTAGAATTACTTAGACTTTTCTCAGCAGCCCTAGAAGTAGGACCATCCAGTAATACATTTAACGTTCTCAAAGAAAATAATCTCCAAGTAGAATTCTGTTGTCGGTCAAGCTAGCAATCAAGTCTGAGGATAGAAAAAGACATTTTCATGGTGTCAAAAAAAGTAGCCCTTAAGTATCCTTTCTCATAAAGTTACTGAAGAGTGTGCTTCATCAAAGTGAGAGAGTAATCCCATAAAGTGAAAGACAAGTGCTACAGGAAATAGGAGTTCTAACATGGAAGATAAACCAAAGGGAGATCACAGGAAGATGATTAATGAAGATCCCAATATGTTAGATGTGAAACATGTAATGGGTAGTCCATACTGTTGGTAGTATGAGCCAAGACATAGTGAGGATTGTCATTGCCAGGATTCCTGCTGGCATGTTTCCTGTTGTAGCTAGGGAACAGAATGCTAGAGTAGGTCTGACTTCTTTTCTGTACTCTGCCTCTGCATAGTGCTTCTCTGTGTTAATGAGGTTCCTACTCTTATGTTTATGCCCTTTGCTTAATTTAGCTGAGGCTACTCATTTCACAAAAATGTTATTTTTTAAGCTATCCATGAGAATTAGAGGTAAGTCATGGTAAGCTTAGAAGCAAAATATATAGAGCTGCCTACTCACTTTGACCATATTTCTGCCAGACTTACAGTTCTTGGTCTTCTCTAATTGTCAGATGTCCCAACTATAGTGGACCCTATGTTTCTGCAGTTTTAATGAAGTAATTACCCATTGACTTGCTACAAAGGTCTCTTGTTAACTCTCAGGAAAGCTAAAACTAGTCTGATCCAGAGATCCTACTCATATTATCTTCTTGACCCTCTGATTGTAGCAATATTGTTAGGTTTGTGCTTGCTGCTCAGTTTTTCAAAAGCATATGATTTTGTTTATTGATGTATATAGTGATATATATATGTAGGTTAGTGATATATATATATATAGTGATTTAACGTCTGTAGTATAAACATTATATGCAAATATACACATATATACATACTACATATATATATGTGTAATAAAACAAAAAAGAGGAATGCTTAGCATAAATGTTATTTCGGGAGGGGGTGGGTTAAGGAGGATGAGATCCTGTAAAATGCCAGTAATGTTCTCTATCTTAACCTGCATGTACTTGATTAATACTGTTCTTAAATGGTATGTATAAATTTTGTACACTCTTAAATACACAAGTCTTATAATTAAAAAAATTAGAAAAGTCATTTTCTTAAAATAACATTATGGTGGAATAGGAAAATTGGTATACTATATGTGAAAACATTTACAGATTGACAAATTATAAGGTTTATTATATATATTATACATTCATTTTTTTCCTTTAAAGATCTTTCTGTAACATAAAGATCCCGTCTTTTTACTGTAAACACTTAGTAGGTAAGGGTCTAAGAATATTTTTAGGGATATTTTTCATGAATATGGATGGTTATGCCTGCAGACTGTCCGGTATTGTTAGGCCTTGTAAAAGAGCACCATCTACTGGCAAAGCTCTGTCTTTTTTTAAAATTCAGCCTTTAAACTCAGTATGGGATTGAAATAAAAACTAAGTACAGTCATGCATTGCTTAATGATACGGATATGTTTTGAGAAGTGCGTCATTAGACAATTTTGTCTTCGAGCAAATATCATAGAGTACACTTATGCAAACCTAGATGGTACAGCCTACTGCATACCTAGGCTATATGGTATAGCCTATTGCTCTTAGGCTGCAAACCTGTACAGTACTCATGTTACTGTATTGAAAGCTGAAGGCAACACTAGCACGGTGGTATTTGTTTATCTAAAAATACCCAAACATAGAAAAGGTCCGGTAAAAATATGATATAAAAGATAAAAATGATGCACTTGTACAGGACAATTGTCGTAAATGGAGCTTGCGAAACTGGAAGTTGTTCGGGGTGAGCCAGTGAGTGAGTGGCAAGTGAATGTGAAGGCCTAGGACGCTGTGGCACACTCATCCAGACTTGATCAACACTGTACGCTTAGACTACAGTAAATTTATATAAACGTTTTCTCAGTAATAGTAAATTTAGCCTACTGTAACATTTCTACTTCATAAACTTTTTGACTTTTATAACAACACTTAACTTAAAACTCAAACATATGGTACAGCTATAAAAAAGTATTTTCTTTGTATTCTATAAGTTTTTAAATTTTTTTTTAAAAACTTTTTTATTTAAACAAAGACACAGACAAGCACATTACGCTGGGCCTATACAGGGTCAGCATCATGAATATCACTATTTTCCACCTCTTCATCGTGTTCCACTTGAAGGTCTTCAGGGGCAATAACATGCATAGAGCTGTTGTCTCCTGTGATAACAATGCCTTCTTCTGGAATACCTACTGAAGGACTTGCCTGAGGATGTTTTACAATCAACTTTTTTTTTTTTAAATAAACAGAGGGTGTGTACTCTAAAATAATGCTAAAAAGTGTGGTGTAGTAAATACATAAGCCAGTTAACAGTTTATTACTGTTATTATTATTAAGTATTATGTAGTACACATAATGGTATTTGCTATACTTTATATATAATGGGCAGTGCAGTAGGATTGTTTACACAGGCATCATCATAGATATATGAGTAGTGTTCTACAATGCCGCTAAGGTTTAGAAAACTTTTAGCTCCCTGATAATCTTATGGGACCACTGTTGTGTATGTGATCTGAACTATTGTTATGCCGCACATGACTGTAGTGATGACAGAGGAAAGCTTGCAAAAAGTCAGCCATGTTTGCCTTTCATTTCCTTCCCTCCTAAAATGACTTTGTTTATCTTTACTCAGTGCTGCAGATATATGAAGAGACTTTGAATGTGAGAACTATAGGAATTGCTAGTGATGTGCTTGGAGGAGGAATGGTTTCCCAGTAATCGACCATGGTCATTGGAACTGGAAGACATAGGAATAGTGATAATTAAATCCTTCATGTGGATTCGTTTTTTTATATGAGCACCTGGAAGTTAGAAATACCTGTAATATTTTATTTGCCTGAAAACATTTTTTCAGCAAGTGTTGAGCACATATTTGGAAAGAGGAGTACTAATAAACTGGATTACTTAAATATTAAACCTTATCTATGAACATACACATCAGTTTACTTAATTCGTTGTGACAATGAGCATTTTTTAATTCATACTTCTTGAGAGTTTGCTTGAGCTGTATAATTAAATCTCTGAGCAGACAAATGGTAAAGGAGACCAAAGTTAATTTTTTGTTTTTTATATTTTTAAGGTGAGATATATAACAAGCATGTTTATATACTGTGAGACTAGTCCAATAAGGAACAAAAATATTGTAGGAGAAAGAGGGGAAAATTGCCATAATATCTGGTAGTTTGCATACCTTTCTAGTAGGTATTCTGGAAATCTGTGTTTACTCTATATATGCATTGGCATTTTAGAAATCTTTAAATATATATGTTTTAATATAGAACTACTTTGAAAGAACATTTGAGAATCCATAGTGGAGAAAAACCTCACCTTTGCAGTATTTGTGGGCAAAGTTTTCGTCATGGAAGTTCATATAGGTAAGTAAAGCCATTTTTTTCTTTTATTAAGTAAGATAAAAAATATTTTTCCATTTTGGTTTTATTTTCTTGTTGCTTTAAATTTAGTTTGTTGGATAAAACATATTTTAGACCTTATGACTAAGACAAAGTTGCACAAAAAGCTTTATAGATTTTTTTTCTTGCTACTTTTATTATCTTCTTTCTGTGGTATAAAGCAATTATTAAATATTTCCTCATCACCAGATTTGCTGAAGACTTTACTAAGATATTACTAAATATTTATTAATTTTCTTTAATTGGAAATTCATTAAAACTCTGACGTTTTAAACTTATTGTATTTTTTCACTCTTTGCTATCAAGGAATATTTTAGTTTGAAAATATGACAAAATTAAAAACTGAAACTCTGAGGGGATTTTTGTTTGTTTGGTTTTGAGTCAGGGTCTTATTTTGTTGCCCAGGCTAGAGTGCAGTAGCATAATCATGGCTTACCACAGCCTCAACCCCCGGGGCTTAAGCAATCATTCCTCCTTGGCCTCGCTAGTAGCTGGGACTAAAACTAATAGGTGCATGCAATGCCCGGCTAATTTTTAATTTTTTTCTAGAGACAAGGTCTTGCTATGTTGCCTAGGCTGGTCTTGAACTCTGGGATCAAGCAGTCTTCTTGCCTTGGCCTCCCAAAATGCTGGGATTACTGGCATGAGCCACTGCGCCTGGCCTGGATTCTTAGTTTTTGAAAGTCTTCTGTGCATCAATTGTGATTATAACTAATTTAATTATTTTTATGGCAAATTCCATACCATATTTGTAGTCTATGAAAAGTTGTTTTTTTCTAAATAGTGTATTATTAGTTATGAAATGTCTACAATTTTAATTTTTATTAATGTGCATAAGAATTTAGATCTGAAGACCTTAAGATGTACACTTTCATTTACCTTATTTTAAATTTAAACAGAACGCTTCCCCTCTGGAATTAGTCTAGTCAGTTTACTGGTTTTGGCAGAACCAGTATGTGTTTTGGCAATTTGAATGGGAAAGCTATTTTTTTCATTAGGATATGTATAGATAGAAGTTGTGGAGATAAAAATAACTCGTTAATCTTAATCTAAGCCTTTTAAAAAGTCTTTGGATGACTATAAAATGAGCTACAGTTTGTTCAATTCATGTGAAAAAAGTCGTAAAAATGTAATTTTCATAAAGTTGAGTTCTTCTAAAATATAGTAAATTATCAGCTATCAGTTTGTAATTGGTAGCAGTTATTCAGGACAGGCTTAATTCTCAATTATTTGCTGCTTCATTTGTTATCATTATTTTTATTTCTAGTCACTTGTATACTTACCCTACTTGTCTGATTCTGATTCCTTCCTGATTTGATCTTACTTTTGATATCTTTGAGATTTAGCCAGTCACATAACAATCCTGGACATTTGGAATTTTCAGTGAACTTAATATAACTTAATATAAGATCTAGGAGGTGGTACACATGCAAGTTAACAATCTAATAAGTTGAGAAAAAATATGGTCCAGAGTGGTTTAAGCATATGTTGAAATGCAGTTTTGAAAGAGGTGAGTAAAGACCCAGGGTCAGTGGTAAAAGACTGGAAAGGAATCTGAAAGTCAGAGAAGTAGAGTAAATAACGTATGAGTGGTTGAGCAGCCAGCTCAGTTTTCATTATTTATTCATCAGTTGTTCATTAATAGGCTTTTTCCTTCTGTGCACCCATTTCAATGGTCTTCAATTTCTTTTTCTTTAGACTTCATTTACGAGTACATCATGATGATAAAAGATATGAGTGTGATGAATGTGGAAAAACATTTATTCGTCACGACCACCTTACAAAGCACAAAAAAATACACTCAGGTAAGCTGTATTTTGTAATGCTATTTTCAAAATCTTTTTAAAAAAACACCTGAAAAGAACATATTATGACATCATGTCTATTTTGGCTACAATTTGAATAATTTGGTTTATATTGGCCACTTCTTTGTATTACTGGTCCTAAAAACCTTTTTAAGAATGCATCTAAAAGGGACATAACTTTATGTTATGTTTACTATAATTTGAATAATTTGTTAATCCTTTGTAACTGTAAAGTATATTTTAAAGTATAATTTTAAATAAATTCTCAACATTTGCATTTTACACATTAGATGGATATGTGCAATAATTGCTATTGTCACTTCCCTAAAGGGAGAATTTTCAATATTATTTCTCATATTGACTGGATTTGAAAAGTTGGTAAAACTTAGATGTTGAAAGGGAAATGATTATAATTGGGTGTTGAAATTTTGTGTTTTAGTGAATTTAGAAACCCTTAATAATCCTGATCATTTCAGATCTTTATACCGTATTTATAATTTTTATATTCTGGGGATTTCTTTCATATTTTCCTCTCAGATTGATGTTCAGGAAGTACTAAGAGAGTCAACTATGTGAGCACAATAATGGGAAAGAGCCATCTCTATGAGCACAATAGAACAGGTGATTATTACTATTATTATAAACATAGCTTGGATATAAAGTATGCAACAGATAGTAATTATTTTCTTTAATGATGTCAGTGAGGTAGGTTGCAGTTGTTATTACCACTTTTAAGAGATGCTAAAGAGCTGATGACTTTTTTTGTAATTATGCATTTTTATTTTTAGGGGTTAAAATTCTAAATTCCTAATTATACAATTAACATGCTTTAACACACTGGTTTGAGACAGGATGTTGTTACTGAATGTAAGGATAAGGGTGAGAAATTGGACTTATGTAGAATTTTTTATTATATTTATATTTTGGCTCATTGTAAATGTAAGAAATCCTCACAGATAAAAATTTTTTAAAAGTAAAGTACAAAGATCTGAAAATGTTTGGGACCTTTTTATAAACAGAAAAATAGCCTCATCTTGATTCAATATATGTCCATTTGTAGTTCATATCTAGACTATATATATTGTTTTTAAAAACCTGAGTTTTTGAATAGTTTCATCTGTCTTGCTCTGTTACATTAAAAAGTATGATTTGAAGTCTACAGCAAAAGCCTACTGATTTCTTTTCCAAGTGGGGGAAAAATTCATATCCAAGCATAGATTCTTTGAAGAAAGTTACTTAAGTAAGGAATATAAAGGAAGTATCCCAGAAGAAATGGTGGATTTTCTTTCCTGATATATTTTCCATCATGTGGTTTCCAAAATATGGTAATTTGTTTTTGAGGGCGGGGGGAAGAAAACAGAATTGCATATTATAATTAAAATATTTTGTCTTTATTTTAAGGTGAAAAAGCTCATCAGTGTGAAGAATGTGGAAAATGTTTTGGTCGTAGGGATCATCTCACTGTTCATTACAAAAGTGTACACCTTGGAGAAAAAGTGTGGCAAAAGTAAGTGAAAAAGCAAAATTTCTCATAATAACTACATTGGCTAAGTCTCAGGGGAAAGTTAAAACTTTTTCATTTATTCTGTTTGATTGGGGATAGGTTAACCAGCTCTCTTTCTATAACTTATGCATCTTCTCTGTAGCCCTAAAAGAATTGAGCAAAGTATGTTTTTTTCCTACTTGTTTTCAGTTAGCTCAAAGGCTAGGAGGTGGTACACATGCAAGTTAACAATTAATATAAACCTTGGCATTCTTTGTGGTTTCATTTATCTTTGAGTGCTTTGGCTCTTTGAGAGTTAAATATACTGCCTGTACATTATACTTAATAAGACAGCAATTCTTAAGAAATATTTGAGCAGGGCTCAGTGGCTCAGCCTGTAATCCCGCACCTTTGGGAGGCTGAGGTGAGTGGATTGCCTGAGCCCGCGGGTTTGAGACCCACCTGGGCAGCGAGACTTCATCTCTACAATAAATCAAAAAATCAGCCGGGCGTGATAGCGCATGCCTGTAATTCCGGCTACTTGGAAGGCTGAGGCGGAAGGATCGCCAGAAATATTTGCAGTTAGAATTTAAACTTGTTTTTAATCACACTAAGCATTTAAAATGATATTTAGTTTGAAGGAGATGTGCTGTCTTGAACATCAATTTTTTAGTTAAATATCCAGGTCTAACAGAGGTTAGTTGCTGAGTAAAATGTTCAAAGAATTCATGTATTTCAACTAGGTATTTGGGGCAAATTATAAGTAACAAACAAGTTCTAAGGTACCAAGGGACTTAGTTTAATAGTCCTGAGCATGATCAACAAAATATATGTAGGATATATAAATACAGTATATCAAAGAGCAATTTAAAGAAGAGTAGGGAAAGTGTTGATTTGTATTCACCTTTTATATTTTTCACATATTGGTTTATTTATTATTTCTTTCATTAATTTTATTTAGTAATTCACTAATTGAATCAAAGTATTCATGTATTCAGTGAACTCTTGTATTCTGTATATGCTAGGAATGCTGCTAAGTGCTGGGGTATAAAGATATACATGAAACTGTTTAGAAAAGGAGATAAGGGGCAAGCCCCTGGGGTCCCCTTCTACTGTAGGAGCTTTTCTGTCCTCTCAATAAATCCTGCTTTCAAAAAAAGAAAAGAAAAGAAAAGGAGATAAGAGCTTCAGTAAGCAGAATTGAACAGGCAGATAATAGACTTAGAAGTACAAACTCACTTGCTCCAAAGATTCTGTAACTTTTGTTTTATCATGACACCTTTATATACTTACAAATTATACTTATAGGAGCCTTCTGGTGTGCAGGGGCATTATCGTAGTTCACTGTAACCTCCACCTTCTGGAATTGAGCCATCCTTCCACCTCAGTCTCCTGAGTAGTTAGGACTACAGGCATGCATAACCATGTCTGGATAATTTTTAAATTTTTTTTGTAGAAAGCATGTCTCCCTATGTTACCCAGGCTGGTCTGGAACTCCTTGGCCTCCCAAAGTTCTGGGAATACAGGCGAATATGTATTTATTATAATATCATATTATATTATTGATGTATATTAATGTTTAATGTATTTTAATATAAATTATAACAATATATAATGTAGATTATGTTGCTTAAATAAATTATTTGAATCATATTAGGCATTAAAACACAATTTTTAAATATTTGTTAATTCGCTTACTGTCAAACGCTAGTGTAAATAGCAATTTTTTGAAAAGTAACTACTTTAGAAAATAAAAAAATGTAAAAAGTGGCATTATTTTATGTTTTTGTGAATATGTTTAATGGCTTAATAGAAGATTCCTAGATGGTCATATCTGCTGTTATTTTTTTCATAAATTTTTTGCCATGTCCCTTTGTTTTCTTTAGCTTTCCTTCTGTTTTTATCCTTATCATTTTCCCCTCATATATTTTAATAGCCAATAAAACTTCACTAACTTAAAGCAGTTGAAAATCTTCGGACCTCTTTTTTATAGATTTGTTTGTTGAATATAACTGGAAGAGGAAGAAACAGAGGCAAGGTCAATATTTAAAAAGCATTTTCATGTTACTTTTTTTTTTGAGTTGGAGTCTCACTCTGTCGCCCAGACTGGAGTGCAGTGGCTGCTCCTGGCCACCGCAGCCTTGACCTGCTGGGCTCCGGCGATCCTTCCGCCTCAGCCCTCCAAGTAGCCGGAATTACAGGCATGCGCTACCACACCCAGCTGATTTTTTGATTTATTGTAGAGATGAGGTCTCGCTGCCCAGGCGGGTCTCGAACCTGCGGGTTCAGGCCATCCACTCACCTCAACCTCCCAAAGGCGCGGGATTACAGGCTGAGCCACCGAGCCTGGCTCCATGTTACTTTTGAGTTCTATGTTTTATTACTGTGAGAATTACATAACAGTTGTAAATTAAGTTTACTTTCATTATGTTATTTATTAGCATTGTATTGAAAAACTTAAAATTTTATGTTCTTAGATATAAAGCAACATTTCATCAATGTGATGTCTGTAAGAAAATTTTTAAAGGCAAATCAAGTCTGGAAATGCATTTTCGGACTCATTCAGGTAAAACTTATTGGGTAGTTTATATGTATATTTTTGTGTGTACAGTTATTCAAGAGTGAGATGTGGATATTTATACTTTGTTGTTCTTGGTTAAACCTTTGTTGTTTTTTCTCCATTAAGACTTTTACTCACTGAAATTCGTATGACTGAGCAATATTTAGGTTTTTCTATTCTCTATTATGTAAGCGTCAATACTTGTAGATATCAGTTCTTAGAATTTGGAAACATGTTTTTCCATAGAAAATATACTTAACTTTTAGCTTTCATTGTTTCCTTTTCTGGTTGTTTTATGATTCCTCTTTATTTCACTTTCTGAAGACTTTTCTTAGGCTTTGCCTATCTGTTTCTTTTCTTTTTGAGTTGGAGTCTTACCCCGTTGCCCAGGCTGGAATGCAGTGGCACACTTAGGGCCACCCCAGCATCTATACCTGCTGGGCTCTGGCAATCCTTCCACCTCAGTCTTCCAAGTAGCTGGAACTACAGGTGCGCACTTCCACGCCTGGCTTATTTTTGATTTATTGTTGAGATGAGGTTGCACCAAGATGCCAGGGCTGATCTTGAACCCACTGACTCGGACAGTCCACTCACCTCGGCCTCCCAAAGTGCTAGGATTACGGGCTGAGCCACTGAGCCCGGCCTATTTTTTCTCTTTTAAGAGAGTAGTACACTATGACCTTATTGTCTTGTTTATCAAGTTACCATTGTATAGTTTGCCTTTTTATTTAGCCAGTCGTGATAGGTAGTTGTAGTAGGACGCTTTGTTCTAGCTGCTTTCTAAAACTTACTTTCTAAATCTTTCTTTTTTCCTCTTTGTGAGTGCTGCTCACTTTGACATAAGAATTTGTTGGCTTCTTTCTTATATATTGTCTGAGTCCTTTTTTGCCTTCACATATCAGTTAACTTTTTTCGGGATGGTAGGGGTCGGAATCTTACTCTGTCGCCCAGGCAGGAGTGTAGTGGCACACTCACAACCACCTGAGCCTTGACCTGCCATGTTCAGGCAGTACTTCCACCTCAGCCTTCAGAGTAGTGGGAAGTACAAGCGTGCGCCACCATGCCCAGCTAATTCTTTTAAATTTTATTGTAGAGATGAAGACTCACCAAGTTTCCCAGACTGGTCTCAAACTCCTGGGCTCAGGCAATTCTCTCTCCTCCACCTCCCGAAGTGCTGGGATTATACCGTGCCTGACTCTAAGTTAACATTTTTAAACCTTTTTTTCTTAAGAAAAAAAGCCTGTTTATGCATTTATGGCTACTTTGTTTTATATTCAATTTGGATTTTGTCAAGCTACTTTTCTGAAAAATAAAATAATTGATTTCATAAATATTAGAATGAGAAATAACTGAATTCAGGCAATTTATGACTAAAGACTTTTTTAGTGATACAGTGCTACTGCTGAGAACAAAATCACACCCCCCCAAATGAAAAAAAAATCATAACTTGGGGGTGCATAAATAGGTGTGTAAAATGAGAAAACTATGTTGATCCTATCTTCCATATTGGTTATAAGTAGTAAGCCTAATAGAACTCATGACTTGAAAGAGAACACCTTAGATCCCTCCATTAATTTTTGTTAAATGTTCTTTAAAGATGTTTTGCAGTTTTTGATATAAATATATTTCTTTCATTAGATTTAGACCTAGGTAGTTGATGTTTTTGTATAAAATTTTAAACTGTATTTTTTATTTTTCATTTGTCATTGACTTTGTATGTTGATTTTTTTATCCAGTACCTTTCTAAATTCAACAATTAGATTGTTGTAGTTTATCTATAACTTTTTGGAGATATTTTAAGTGTACAAACAGGTCATCTGAATAACAACTGGTTTATTTTTCCCTTTTTAATCTTTATAACATACTGTCTCTCTTGTGGGAAAGGGGTGGAGAAGAACCTCTTGCTTTGGTTACATCTCTAGTAGAAACATTGATAGTGAACATCCTTGTTTTATTCTTATCCTCAAGGGAAGATCTTTTAATAATTTGCAATTATGATTTTAAAAAAATTTTTTATTTTAAAGATGCGGGGTACTATTCAGGGTTAGGTATACAAATGTTCATTATGCAGGTACCCTTGTTGTTGAGGTGTGCCCTTCCCTCCCCTGACAGTTTCCCTCAACTACCAATCCTCCCCCCCATCCCCTGGCAGTTTCCCACTACTGCCAATCCCTTTCTTACAGTATTCTGATAATTGTTCAAGGTCAGTAAAAGCAGTAATTCTATTAGCCCCCATTTACAGACTAAACCGCAGCACACAGAGATGAAGTAACTTGCACAAGGACATACTTTTTTTTTTTTTGAGTTGGAGTCTCACTCTGTTGCCCAGACCGGAGTTCAGCAGCCGCTTCCGGCCACCGCAGCCTCGACCTGCTGGGCTCCGCGATCCTTCCGCCTCAGCCTTCCGAGTAGCCGGAATTACAGGAGCGCGTTACCACTCCTGGCTAATTTTTTGATTTATTGTAGAGATGAGGTCTCGCCTGCCCAGACGGGTCTCGAACCCATGGGCTCAGGCAGTCCACTCACCTCAGCCTCCCAAAGGCGTGGATAGCAAGTGATGCCCAAACCTGGACATCACTTGGATTTCAAATCACTTGGATTTCAAATCAAGTATCCTAACCCTTGCACAGCACTACCTGTGCAACTTAGCCTGCCAAAACCACATCTTGGCAGGAATATTCTAGCTCTCCAAGTGTCTTATAAAAACATGATTTTTAAAATTGATTTTTGAAGGTACTGTTGCTTATGTGTATTTTTTTGTCTGTGTTTATGAGACATATTGCCTACATTTTTTTCCCTTGTAATTTCCCTCACAAACTATGTTGTCATAACTATGTCGGTTTCAAAGAATGATTTGGAAAAGAATACATCTTTTTCAGTTATTTGGAGGAGTTTGTGAAAAATTGGCATTATTTCCTCACTTGATTAGGTGAATTCACTGATAAAGCCCTCTAAATTAGTTTTCTTTAGGAAAAGGCTTGAATTAAAGATTCTTTAATAGTTATCCAGCTGTCATATATTCAATTTCTTTATTGCTTTTTTTAAAGGAATTCTATTTAATCTAAAATATCAAATCTATTGGCAGATTTTAGGGTATTTTGTTGTTTATCTTTTTAGTGACTATAGAATCTTTAGTGATAAGCCTTTTTTATTCCTGTTTTTAGTAATGTATTATTTTTTGCTAGTGATTTATGGATTTTATTAATATTTTAAAGCAACCACTGGGTTTTGCTGATTTCTCTCTTTGTTGATTTGTTTTATATTTAATTTTCACTTTTATCTTTCATATATCTTCTATTTCATTTGGGTTTATAAGTCTTTTTCTAGCTTCTTTATGTGGATGCCAGAGATATTCAAGTTAGCATTTTTTATTTTTTATTGTACGTATTTTGGGGCTATGTTATCCTGTAAATACTACTTTAGTCACATTCCATACCTTGTTTTGTATTTCATATTTCTATTGGAATTCATTAAAAGGAAATCTTTGATTCATAAAACCTTTTTAATGAAGATGCCCAAGGACCATCATGGCTATTACTATGCCAAGGGAAAACACTTAAAACCAGTACTTTTATCTTTCAAAGTAAACTCTGCTTCTTAGTATATTAATAATGTTGTAGTAGTATTTTCATTTTCAAAACCAATCATAGAATGCTCCTTGCATGAAAAGTATTGATGCCAGGGATTTATAGAAAGCACTTGATAGTACTTGCATTTTGGAATTATCAGTCTTTTAATTTGTTTTGTTATATTTTCAAAACATGGTCCTCTGAGCTTTTTCATATTTTTTCTGTTTCTAGGCATTTAGATATAAAATCAGATGTTAGATGCTGTGTGTACTATGCACAGTTAAAAATATTTTTATTTCAGAAATGTTAATCCTTTATATAATGTATTACTTTATGTCCACTTTCTCTCTAGTGACATCATTAATGATATTAGTCCAGAAACAAGTAGAAATTTAATTTTACCAGGTACACAGCATCCCAGTCTGTATAAATTTTCTGTCATTGGGTTTGTAGGTTCCAGTAGGCTACAAAATTTAAACAATAATATTTACCAAATACTTATTTGATAATTATTTCAAATTGAAGATGTAATTATCTTTTAATTTACTGTGAGAATTGATAATGTTTTAAATGGAGAGATGAGAAGATAATGATATCAATAAAACCCATATGACAATATAAAACCACTTCATTTGGGTTTTAAAATGTGCCTTTGTGTCTGTTGCAATACTAATATGTCTGCATATGTGTTCGTTTTCTGTTGCTGCTTTAAGAAGTTACCACAAATGTACTGACTTAAACAATACAGATTATTTTATAGTTCTCTAGGTCAGAAGTCTGACACCAGGCTAGGTGTTGGAAGAGCTATATTTCTTTCAGGAGGCTCTAGGGGAGAATTATTTCCAACTCATTCAGGTTATTGGCAGAATTCAATTCTCTGAGTTGTAGTACAAGGACTGAGATTCCAGTTTTTTTGCTTGTTGTAAACTAAGAGCCTTTCACAGCTTCTAGTGGCTGCATCATTCCTTAGGTCCTAGCTCCCTTCTTTAATTTTCAAAGTCAGTAATTGGTGGTTGAGTTCTCATGTCACATCTCTCTGACCCATTCTTCTTCAATTAGCAGCCACTTTTTAAGACTCCTGTGATTAGATTGGTCTCACTTGGAAATTGGACCATATTTCAAGGTTTTAATCATAATCAGATCTGCAGTCTTTTTTTACCATATAAGGTAACATCTACATCTATAGATTCCAGGGATTAGAGTGTGTACATCTCTGAGGCGTTATTCTGCCTACAACACTGGCTAAACTAGGAATTGTAATGGTGTGTGTGTGTGTGTGTGTGTGTGTGTGTGTGTGTGTGTGTGTGTGTGTGCGCGCGCGCGCGCGTATGTGTATGTATGTAAGTAAACCTGGCTCAAGAGGAATGGAAAACGGATTCAACTTCTGTATTCTTTCTACTGGTCAATTCTCCTCATTTGGCCTCAGGCTGGAGATGAATATTATTACTTCTCATTCTGACCCAAAGAACCAGCTTGAACTTATCACTTCACTTTCTCTTTTAATCCATTCACCAACTCTATGAGTTAGGTGCTATAATCATCTCACATTATAGATGAGGAAACTAGGCTTAGAAATTGGGTAGCTTGCTCAAGGTTGAAAGTGTTATAGCCAGAATTCAAATCCAGATCTCTTTGATGTGTCAACTCATTGTCGTTACCATTTTACTGTACTGTCTCTATTTTGTGATAGCATACAATATTATTGCCATTATGAAGTTCTTTCAAGTATTCACATGGAAAATCTGCTACTTAATATCATTGTTTTATCAAGTGAGTGCATTTTACATTTAATTTCATTCTTGTTCATACAGGTGAAAAACCATACAAGTGTCAAATTTGCAATCAGTCTTTTAGAATTAAGAAAACATTAACAAAACACCTGGTTATTCATTCTGATGCCCGGCCTTTCAACTGTCAGCACTGTAATGCAACATTTAAGCGGAAAGACAAGCTGAAATACCACATTGACCACGTTCATGAGATCAAATCTCCTGATGATCCTCTCAGTACTTCTGAGGAAAAACTTGTATCCTTGCCTGTAGAGTACTCATCTGATGATAAAATCTTTCAAACAGAAACAAAACAATATATGGATCAGCCCAAAATGTATCAGTCCGAAGCCAAGACTATGTTACAGAATGTGTCTGCTGAAGTATGTGTTCCAGTAACACTGGTTCCAGTTCAGATGCCAGACACTCCAAGTGAGCTAGTGCGGCATACCACCACACTCCCACCATCTTCTCATGAGATTCTGTCACCACAGCCACAATCATCTGATTATCCACGAGCAGCCGATTTAGCTTTTCTGGAAAAATATACTCTTACTCCTCAGCCTGCAAATATAGTTCATCCGGTTCGACCTGAACAAATGCTAGATCCTAGAGAACAGTCTTATCTTGGAACATTATTGGGCCTTGATAACCCTACTGGTGTTCAAAATATTTCTAGTAATGAACATCATTCATGAGTAAATCTAAACATTCCACAGACTCTTTTATGGTTATATGCTAATGGTAGCCAATAGCTGATAACTTTTAAATTAGTAGGGCTGCTATTTTTCCATTTTCTCTAGTTTCTCAAGTCCTCAGAACAGTTTTAAATCCAGAAAACTGTGTGTCTCTGTTTACTGAACATATGAATATTTGAACAGATTTTTCTGGCATAATATTTGAAGTGAACTTTTTTTGTGATTTTTAAAGATTATTTAGCATTAATTTTTAATGAGTTCTCAAACTTTTCAGAATTATTAGCTGCTGGTATTATAGGGTTTGTTTTTGTAATCAGTGGGAATTCTTATTCTTGAATCTCCTTTTCCTTTTCTTTCTTTCCCATCTCCTCACAAACAAGTGTAAGAAAGTCTTGGTGGATATGTCTGTGTTATCTTTCCATCTATCCATAATTTTAGGTTATATCTTTTGAACTTTTTTTCAGACTCAAAGCTAGAAGACTAACTAAAGTAAAATTCACTTATTAAATGTAGGATTGAAACAATTATCCAGTTAATTGGTTTTTTGCCTATACTTCAATTATTATGAATAAGAAAGGCAAGCATACATGTAGGCATTAAATTATATAAGTTGAAAATGTGTTAAAAGACAAATGTGACCGTTCTAGCTAGATGTTTTTCAAGGTAAGTTTACCTTTTGTACTTTACCATTTATTTCAGAAACATTAACAACGTAACACATCATATATCTTCATTTCATTAAGGAAGATGATTGAAACTTTGGTTTCATTTACTTTGGCTGATAGAAACACTGGGAAATAGAATCTAGATATTTCATGTGTAGTTGTTAGAAAAGGTGCCAAATTATAAAATTTGTGCCTAATTTAACTTAAAGTTGTTTAAGTAAATAGAACCACTATTTATATACAGTTACATGCAATCTAGATCTTTAACTTTGCTTTCACATAAACGTGTCTGTAATTATTCTTAATTTTTATTTTTGTATGAGACAGAAGCTGAGGACTTGGTAAAAGGAAATAGCATTTATAATAAAACCTCACTGATTAAAATTGAGGAAAAAGTCAGACAAAATTATAAAATACCTTTAAAGACATGCACTTTTCATATTTTCAAGTCAATTTTAACTTAAAACATAGATAATATTTCCCAGTAGAGTTGCTTGAGGGTTAGACTAGGTAGGGTTGATTTATTATTAGCATGTCATTTGTAAATAAACTACTAGAACATAGCAGTTTAAAAGTTTTCTCTTTCAGTTTGTTTACACTCCTAATTGCTTTAAGCACTTTTTTGGTGTAAACTGTTAAGTCTGGCCCAGCCCTTGTGAAAAAAATCACAAATAAAATAATGAAGTTTTACTGAATAAAATTTAACAAATTAGTGATGGGAGAAATTTTGCTGAAGCACTTAAGATATGAAGGTACTTTGCAGGAGCATTCGCCATACTAGTGAAGATAGAAAAACACGTTGAAAATTAAGGCAGTTAACCAAAGTATCTCATATAAATAGTAAAAGGCAGTCTGAGTTTTTGCCTCATGTATCAAGGTTTGATTGTAATTATTTTAAGACCAGTAGACATAATTATTGTATTAATTCTTCTTTTTAAAGCATTCTTATTTTCTTTGTTTGGAAATGTTATATCTTGGGTATTGGTTTGATTGAGCTTGACTATATGAGGTATTGTTAGTCTGTTAGGCTTTCAAATTGCCTTTTAAAAATACATTTTCTTTATGATTTTTATCATAAAGACTGGCAAGATTATACCTAAAAATTTTGCGTGAATGAAAATAAATCATACCTTAAAATGTACCATGCCTTGCATATAAGCTAATGTAGAAAAGTTTGGTCTTATAAAATGGCAAATGGAATATATGTGTATGTATATGAATATGGTATATGTTATGTTTGGTGGCAGAAAAAGAGGATATTGCATTTTCACATTGAAAAGAATACTTTGCTTTTTGAAGGTATTTACTGTAGGGTTCTCTCAACAATAATGTCCTAATGCTTTAAATATATGGTTTAATTGTAGGAACTGGTTTACATAGAACTTTCTTGGAATGCATCTCTTATGTACAGTGAAATATAACTATCTAATTGTATTTAGTTAATATTATAGATAAATTAAATTTGAGTAGTGATTTACTGTTTTATAAAATGCTTTCACATATGTTATCTCATTTGAACCTTATAACTAGCTCTGATATAGAAAGAACATAACGTATTCCCATTTTGGCGATAAAGGAACTGAGGTTAAGATTTTAAAAAAAGAAACTCATTTAAGCTCATGAAGTCAATAAGTGGCAGAACTACTAGTAGGAAAAGAAGAAAACTTTTAATGAATGCTTACTGTGTGCCAGGCACTATATTCTCTCATTTAATCTTAACCCAGTCCGAGTGGTAGGTAGTATAATTTTTATGAAGAAATAGTCTCAGTGGGTGAAAAAAAATAAAAGAAACAAAAAACAAAACAAATCTGCTGCCTCTAATTTTCAAAAGTATAAAAAATTGTAAAATTGTGAAAACCTCATGGATTTAGGCAAACTGAATGTATTATAAACTTTTGAAGTTGGCATAAAAAGTATAACATGAGGTCTATTCTTTTCTGTTGATTTTTTGTAATATTTGATTTAGAACATTTTGGACAAATGCTCTGTAACTCTAAAATTCATTTATTTTATAACTATGCTTAGAATTTTGAATCTTGCAATTAAGTTTAGTCTCGTTCAGAATTTTTATTTTATGAGCATAATTTATTGTTTTAAATTAATTTTTTAGCAGATAGCAGTTAGCACTTAATCTGTAAATTGAGTAATTTATCAAGTGCAGAAATTTGTTAATCTAATCAGTTTTGACTTAAATGCACCAAAGATTTTTAGTAGATATTAAATAGTTTAAAAGAATTTAAATTCTTTGTTGTTTGAATAAATATTTGTCCAAAGAAGCACAGTTGAAGTCTAGAATAATGGATTTTTAAAAATAAATAGTTTGAATATGGAGATTAAGTATTAAGTGTTTGTGTTTATATGTATTAATATAAGAGCAGAAGAAAATACTCTGGGAATAGTCATACTGACAAACCAATTACAAGTAAGAATACTCAGTTTCCCTCATTTTAGTTAATCCATTGTTACGTTTTTAACTATTAAACACTAAATAAGCTTTTTTTTTAACACTACACTATCAAAATAATTTCTACCTTAGACATTTTTAAAAAATCAAGTTTAGGTTATTTTCGTAAGAAACCAACCTATTTTTTGCACACTAAAATACCATCTAAGTTTAGAGTTTGGTCATTATACCAGCAAGATTTAACCAGTTACTGTGAAGATAGTGATCTTTGCATACGTTTAAGAAATTTAGACATTTATTCCTGGGAGAAGAGGAGTAGCAAAATAGAGTTTTAAATTGGTGCTTTATTAAGTGACTTCCTTTTAAGTGATGGTAGATCAGGAAATAGGTACACTAATAATTTTCTGTCTACCTTAAACAGTGTCAAAGCATCTTTGTAGGGTGACCAACAAACTGTTAGTTAAGGGCTAATAAGTAATTATCATTCATTGCTTTTTACTCTATAATAGCAAACAAATTAAAAACACAGCTAAACTGGTATGTTTATAAACTTGAGTTTTCTCCCTACCATATTATTCTAGAATATTTGATGAAAAGTCAGATTTTGAGCATTAGTTCTTTGACAGTGTCCTTTTATACCCAGTCTTTTCTGGATTGAATGCTTTGTGCCTTTTCAGTGTGTTGTAGTTGTTTAGCGTTGATTCTGCTGCCATATTGTACTGGTTATGTATTAATTATTTGGGGGGAGTGGATTATGGGTCTTATGTTTGTGTTGCCTGCTGGCTGGGCAACTTCTTTTTAGGTTGCTTTATGTTTATATAGGCAAATTGGCACTAAATACTAGTGTGAACATTTGTTTTTATGATTTATATATCATTTTTTAATCACTATTGTGGCCTTTATAGTTACTGTGAAGCCACTCTTGGGCCTGTCTCTAGATGCTTATTGGAGGAATCTGACAAATAAAATAAGAGCAGTGTGTGTTTACATTTCTGTCTCTCTCTTTCTCTCTTTCTTTTTAATACCAATTATCATAATTACACAGCTCTGCACTGAATGACTTCTTATTTCAGTTTGCCTAAAACTGAACAAGAGGTGATGGTTTGAGATGAGTTTCTCATTAGGAGCAGCAACATCCCAGCCAGTATATAACTTGAGTTGATTAATTCAGGAAAAATTAGGACTTGGAAACAAAGTTGTATCTGAATATTCTGAGATTCATTGCCAATTTAAAATGACTAAAAATGTATCTTTATTAAGGAACAGATAGCATTTCTAATACTTTAAGTAGCATTTTGATAATGCTATTGCTGTTAGAGTGAGTAATGGCTAATGTGAGAATAATTTCCTAAATTTCTAAGAACTAGACCATTCTTCCTTAGAGCCTATTCCCCCTTTATTTTTGCACATTTTTCTCTTAGTATAGTCTGTAGTTTTGTTTTTTGTTTTTGGAGGAGGAGAATCCCTCCTTATTTCCTCTAAAATTATTCTTACTTATTTCCTCTAACAATATTTTTCATTAAGATCCTTTCTTCCTACAATGTTAGCATGCTTTCTGCTCTTTCTCTTTGGAAGTAATAATAATAAGATAGAAGTAATAGGATTAGTTTGTGTGGAAGATGAGAAAAAGAAGGTTTTTGTACAGAGGGTACTTATGCTTTGCTTACTCTTCATGTTTCAACTTGCTGTGTATTGATCTTAAATTTATGATTCTTGAAAAATCCCCAGACAATTTAAATTTAGCCTATGCATCCAGTTATATAAAGAGAAATTAAGGATTATATTCAGAGAAGAAATTAAGGATTATTTTAGGGCTTAGAAGTTATACAAAGAACATAATCTCTTTTTTTCAAATTCTTAGGTAAAGAAAAGTAATGTCAATGCTTGCATTACTGTTGGAGATTCTGAACCTTTTTTGAATGAAGGGCATGTACACATCTTGTTATTGCGCCTCTTGTGTTTCTTTTGGGCTTGGTATCCCTGCTTGCATCAAAGTTGGACAGTGTACTGTGATGTGACTATAAAATTTTTGTTCCTTCCAACAGTCACACTCTATTTATCCCTATAAATAAGACTATTACAGTTGGTGAGTGTGACTGCCAAAAATGACCCAAAGCCAGGCATTTAACTGCCTCACATTGTGTATTAAATGTTTTGATTAAGGGGGACTTATGTACATTAAAATAAAAATGTTTTTGAACTTTTCATTCTCAAATCATAATTTTTGTTTTTAATTAAGGATACTTTTAAAAGCAGTTGCAAAGAGAAATCTAAAATATAAAAATTCATTATTGTTTACTGTGCATAAATTATCTTGTGAGTTTTATAGATATTTTGGTTGTCTAATGTTTCTTAAGTATAAATGTCTTTATAGAAAAATTCAGTTCTCTGTGAAG